TGGCAGCTTCAGCCTCTCCGAGCCACCACCAGCACCAGCCTCAGAACAACGCTGCGCCCCCTGGTGGATACGACGCTCCGCCCGCCCCGCTGTCACACCCGCACCCACTGTACAGCACCATCGCTACCAACTTACTCTCACAACAACAACAACAACCGCCACCTCCTCCACCACCGCCACCGCAGCTTACTCAACAAAATTTCTCTCACCAACAGTCGCAACAGACCGCGTCAAAACCAGACCCGTCAAAACTTTTGAAAAACGCCAAGGCCAAAAATAGTCCAAAGAAATCCAATGGTGCCAATTCGAACGATAGACAGGCAAAAGCAGTATCATGATCCTGTATTTTGTTTTACAGTTTTTTTTTCTCTTGTTCTCATTCTTATTTGCACTGCTACTGATAGAGCCGTTCTGGTCTTTTATCAATTTCACTAGTGCCAGAAGTCATCGGAACCTTTGTTTCTTCTATTTCGCTAAAGAAATATTCTCCTCTGCAGATGCTTTGGTCATTGTCAGACATTGACACACCAACTATTTTTATTATCATTATTAAGTGTTGATTGCAACAACAAAAAAAAGCCCCGCAAGTTCTTGAAAGCCTGTTGCTTATGTTGAAGAATTCAAAGAAAGACTCTCTTCTTTTGCTCAGGCTTTTTTTTCCCTAACACATTTCTTTCATGTCAAAGATAGACCTGTCTGCGGGATATAAAGCATTTCCAGGTAGGATTTGACTTGGGAGTCTGAATTTTTTTTCGATAGTGAGGCTTGGCTTGTGTGTGTGCTCAGCACCATTGATTTGTGGATCTTGAGCCTGCCATTGAATAGAAAACTATTTGAGATCTCACCGAGCATAGAAAACTATTTGAGATCTCACCGAGCACAGAAAACAATTTGGGATCTCATCGAGCATAGAAAACTATTTGAGATCTCACCGAGCATAGAAAACTATTTGAGATCTCATCGAGCATAGAAAACTATCTGAGATCTCACCGAGCATAGAAAACTATTTGAGATCTCATGGAGCATAGAAAACAATTTGGGATCTCATCGAGTAAATGGAGGATATGATAGAGTTCTTGAAACATCATGGTGCATATCAGTGTTTGTCATCTTATCTCTTTTGTTCATTTTTGAAAGAAATGTCTTGAATATAAAACTATTTGAGATCTCGTCAAGTAAATGGGGATATGATCTAATTTTTTGAACATCCTGGTGCATGTCAGTGTTTGTCTACTTATCTCTTTTGATCTTTTTTGAAAGAAGTGTAGGAATATTTGAAAAAAACATATGGGACAAAGAGGAATGATGACATACTGTGTAGTTGCCTGGAGACTGCTGCTCAACATTGGTGCAAGGTAATTGAAATGTCCTGATTTGAGTCAGTTGTGGTTTCAAGTGTACGTAGTTTTTCTTTATGCTTATGCATGCATGTGTTGGGATTTGTAAATTGTGATTTGCATATATGGGTGTGGGTGAACCGGAGCACGCATGTCTAGTTCACTTTTATGTAAGTAAAAGCAGATTGCCAAAGAGTTTGTTTCCCCGAATTCCCGAAATAGTTTGCGGACTGACTGGTATCGCACCCAATATGAAGAGTACTACTGGTTATAACCTAACACTAACATAATGGTCTTTTCCCCTTGTGGATCATTATATTTTTCCCTATCTGGGCAAGGGTTGTGTGTTTCCCAATCTGTTCCCACCAAAAGCGCCTTATACATACACTTTTTGGAGATTATTTTTATGATTCAGAAATCCTCTTGTATTGTCTTTGTCAAACAGGGGTCCCCTTTTGCTACTTTCACTTTCTGCAGGATGATAAAATAACAGTGTAAATCTTTCCATTAATCAATTTCATTGTACTGAAAACTCATTTTTCGCATGTCAACGAGAATTAGTTGCCCCCAACTATCTACTTACGATTTCAGAAATCATTCCATCATCCTACAATATGGATAATATGCTGCCACTACTTCTACTGCAAAATAAGCTATGGATCTCTTGACTCTCCCTTAGTTTTGCTTGTGGTTAGAGGGCTCCGTTGGTTAGCCCTGCTTCTTTTCTTTGTCTCTGTTGTTCCACTCTGTCCATCTCGCTTTTTCTCTGCGTTAAATGGACTTCAGTCGTGCTTGTCTTTAATTGATACTTCACCTCCTGTAGATTTTGTTGTCGGGGCCTGACCTCTTGTTCCAAACTCTTTTCTTATTACATTTTGCTGCCATTTCATTGCTCTTCCCAGGCATTATTAACCCTTTTCCAAACATGTTTTATCTTTCCGTTTCTAACTTTCCACACAACTTTTGATTAAGTGAGTTTTATCTTTCCATTTCTATCTTTCCACACAACTTTTGATTAAGTGAGTTTTATCTTTCCATTTCTATCTTTCCACACAACTTTTCATTAAGTGATGCATATTCAGACTGCTTGCAGAAAGTGTTCTGACTGCCATACTTGTCTCTCTCACGAGGAAGTCAGTCAGGAGAAAGTCCAAGGTTCTGTCATTGATAAGAAACAACACTGGTTTTTTTCTGTGTTGTGAAGTATTATTCACTATAGTCACGAGTCCCCGACTTTTAGGACGAGTGTATATCGTCAGTGTCCTTCATTATCCTTCTGAAGCTGAATAATTGTCCCTGATTCGAGTTACGATTATGTGTCTTCTTGTACATATGTTTGTACCGGTAAAAAGAAAAAAGGGTCCTTTCATTATAGTAATTCTATTTTTGCCCCCTAGATGGTAGTTGGTCAGTGCATGCTGTGAGTAAAACTCTCGGACATTCGAGAGCTGTCCTCTCTCTCTCTCTCAGTATTTAGGGTCATTTGAAATGTCATATTTTATTATCTGTTCATTTTTGTCATAAAATTTTGACTTGTGTGTTGTTTTTTTCCCCGTTTTTTTTTTTTAAATTTGTGAATTGTATTAACAGAACTGATGATTACAAAGTATTTATCTTTTTGTGTGTGTGAGTACTCAATTTGGTATTACATTTTCCCCAAAGCACACAGATCTTTGATCTGACATTTTGATTGTGAATTCCAATGTAATTGTTTTTTTGGATTTTATATAATTTTTTTCCACAAAGTGTGATATTTTCTTTTGTGCTGATTTGTAGTGCATGGGACACTAGATCTGTAGTATTTTGATTTGGATTATTTTTGGTTTTGTATTAATTTATGGCACAGTAGTTCTACAGTATTTGGTCATTTTACATTTATTTTGAACGGGACACAAGGAGTATTCTGAATGAATTTATTATATTTATTATATAAATGTGAAGGCATACTGCTTTTTTCTATGTAAACATATGTTATATTTTTCTCCTGAGGTCACAGGAGTGTGTGATTTATTTATGTTCTTTTCATGGAAATTGGAAATCCTGATCTATAGTGCCAGCTCTGTTGTGATTTCGGGAGGTTTGGGTTTTTTAACAAATGT